GCAAGGCAGGCAGTGGCACCACTGAGCTAAATCCCTGGTCCTTTCATATTATGTTTTTATATTCTATTTCTGGAATTTTGACTGTTACATGCGTTGGTATAGTTTTTTCCAATTGTGGCTAATTGGATGCCTCACTTGTCTGTATGTCAAATTCTTTTTCCATGCTTCATAACTTTTCTGCTATTACTTTGGTGAACAGGTTTGTTAGGTTTGTGCTATCTTCTGATGTTTCATCTATTTCAATCAATCTCATGTTATTTGCATCAGCTAACAGCTATTGGATTGATTTTTCATGGTCCCTGGCTGTTTTTAAGAAATTTTTTTTTTTTTTTAGTTTATTGGTACTCGCTTTGGCAGTACATATACTAAAATTGGAACAATACAGATAAATTTTTCATTTGATGATCTCTAACCACAAACCTGTCTTGTGGATCTGATATTCTGTCCTCACTTTGGTTCATTCTGCTGTGTATATGTTCAATAGAATTTTTAAAATCCTAGATATCTCTTTCATGAAATCCAGTTCTTTCCTCTTTTAGCACTTTTCCATCAATTTCCTAAATCCCTCTTTTAAATTTTTATTTTTATTTTTTGGTACTGGAGATCGAATTTTGGTCCTTGTGCTTGCAAGGCAAGTGGCAGATCCACTGAGCTAAATCTCCAACCCAAAACTCTTCTTTTTTAAAATCAAAAATCTGTATCTACTCTAGATTTGCTAAACATAGCCTTCATTATTGTCATGTCTTTAGTTATGTGTGCCATTATTTCTGATTATTTTCTAGAGCCTTATTTATCTGCCTTGTTCCATCCCGTGCTACCATTTCAGAAAGTTCAGCTGGGTAGCTTTTGATTTCTTCCAACTCATTGTCCCCTGAATTTGCCATGGGTGACCTGGAGGTTTAGGGTTGCACCTTACTTCCATGTATTCTCATTTTCTATTTTTTAAAATTTGTTTTCTACATTGATGCTTATAAATTGTTATGTCATGTAGCTTTATTACTAGTATTGAGAGCTCCTTAGGAAATGACTACTTTTCAGAGATGTCTTTTTGGTGTAGCTGGCTTTTAGCTTTTGAGTCTATCCCAAGATCCTGCCTTTTTAATTTGCTAGAGATGAGAAGTTGCTGCCTATTTGGCCTAGCACTCAATTCTTTGATATTGGACTGTGGTATGTTTTTATGATTCCCAGACCATCTCAGAATTGGCATACAAGGAAGGACAATGGATCACAATAACTGTGTCACTTTGTCTGAAGTATTGCAATCAGTAACCAGAATAGTATAAAGTACAATCTAGAAAAACCAGAAACTGTTGTAACTGTTAATTTACTACCTTTAAACATAGGAGATTTATAGTTATATAACAATACCTACAATAAATCAGAAAATTATATACAGTAAATATCTCCTCAATAGTGTTTTTACCCTCAGGTGAGAAAATTTAAATGGCATAAGTATAAATAATAGAAAAATAATGCAGAGAAAGAGTTAAAAGCAAGGCTGAAGGAGAAAAGAAGATTACCCATGCTTTGGGAAACTGATGAAGTAGACTGGGAGGAAAGAAAGAAGAAAAATTTAAAAGAAGTACTAAACAAAAGAATGTAAAAAAATGTTCACATTCATGAAAAACAAAAACAAATAATCAAGGAAAAACAAAAAAAAAACAAAAGTGAAGAGGAAAAAAAGTGATTTCTCTGTGATTTTAAAAAAGTGATTTTAAGCCTCTGGTTATCTTCTGGGTTTTACAGTTCTGTGATAGTGTCAAATTCCGGCTGTGTCTCCACTGTTACTGATAGACAAAAGAAACAGACAGAGCCCAGATCCATGCTGGCAGATTGCAGTAAGCCTATAGTAGGAGTAGAGTGGGGTGCTTTATAATCCCAGAAAGCCTGCAGTAGGAATGGCGGGGGCTGATTCTGGTGATTTCAACTCTGCAGAAATTCGGGTTGATTCTGGCCTGTGGTTGTGGACTTGGAGCTGGAGTTGTTTGGCCTACAACATTTTGGGTGTCTCTTGTTGGCCTGATTTTGGCTCCCTGACCCTGAATGTCTCCCACAGTTATCCCTCACCCAGTCCCTGGATGCCCTAAGAGGATGCCAACCAATAGATGCTCTGAGTCCTGGCTTCAGTTAGCCCCTCTCTAAAATGGCATCTGGACAAGGACTCTATGGGATTCTTGGAATGATGTCACTCAACAGCTGTTGTAGCTCACAGCATCTACTGCTCTGTTCCACTACTCTGTGGATGCCTCTGGAGTCACCCAACTTCACTGTATCTTTGTAGATGGGAGCCTCCTCCCTCATTTTGTGAGCCAGGAGTCAAGAAGAAAATACAGTTTGCTACCTCCTTTTTCTGTGTTGAGGTTTGTATCTTCACTTCCCCTGTGGGCTTCAATTCTCCCTTTAGATCTTTCCTGGCTCAAGGGGATCCACCTCCCTCCTTTTCTTCTCCAAATTGTTATATTACAGTGTCTGAATTCTGAATCTCAGGGAGGCTGTTTACTGCTCTTACTCACAGCTTTCTAAATTGGTAAATTGTGATTGTTTGTATCTACGGGTCTGTCTTTGCAGGTTTGTTTTGTTGCTTTTAAAAAAATATTCTGGTGCTGATAACTGAATCCAGGACCTCATACTTGCTAGCTAGGCGACACTCTACCACTGAGCTAAATCCCTGATTTCTGTCTTTCCAGTTTAGCGGACAGAGGTTTGCTCTATATCCTTATTTCTCTGATGAATCAAGTAGAGTCAGTGGTTTTTCAGTTTGTTCAGCATTTTGATTTTTGTTTAGGATGGAGTGGTAACTTCTAAGTTTTTTATAAACTATAAGAGAGCCTAGAAGTTCCCTTTTTCTATTTTAAAAGAAGAGAAATCAAGGCATGGCAGTTGGATTTACTGATGTGTTCAAAGTTAACAAAGTAATTCAGGGCAGGGTTAGAATCTTGATCTTATTTAAGTTACCCAGAATATATTCAGGATTGATATTTATTAAAACCTCTTTTCATTGCAAAGATAATCACGATCTCATTTTTATATATCATCTCTTAGTACAAATCTTGACAGATTATATATTCTTGGAAAAAAATGCCATCTCAACCAGGTGTTCAATTTTTTTTTGAGACAGGTTCCTGCTATATAGTTCAGTTGACTTTGAACTCATTATGTAACCTGGCTGACCTCTAACTAGCACCAGCTTCTTAGGCTCCTGAGTTCTAGGGTTACATGTGTGTTTCTCCATGCCCAGCTCAGTTCAATTTTATCTGAAGAGTTTTGTTCAATTTTATCTGAATAGAGTTTTGTTCAGATTGTTTGTTGCTTTTTTTTTTTAGACAGGGTCTCAGTATGTAATTGAGACTGATCTTGAACTCACTGTGTAGCCTAGGCTAGTCTTGAACTCACAGAAGTCCTCCTTCCTCAGCCTCCTGAGTGCTAGAATTACAGGTGTGCACCACCATGTCCAGCAGGATTGTTTTAATTTCCTCTTGTTCTGGGGCTCTTTTTACCACTCAGTTCTAGTATCTTTTATTTATCCCATGTGATGAGACTCTTCACTGATTCACCGTTTTCACTTTTTATGTATATTGCTTTGCTTGTCTTCACTGAATGTAACAATTCAATTAATAGGATTGACTTCTTTGGGGACCAATGTGAATAATACACTTTTAAACCCAAGACCTAGCAATGGAATCTTTAAATGATCATTGAGAATCACATCATTGAGATTCAGTGATAATCACTTCAGGTGTAATATTCAAATATTCTAATCAGCTGGGATTACTGGCACAAGTTAGAGGCACTGTAAGAGGGCAGATTACAATAAGATTATACTAAACAATGAAATCTGATTAGGGATGACTTCTAAATCTGTATGAATTTATTCAAATACTGATTTGTGACAGTGTTACTTCATTCTCCTGAGAATTTTAGGTTTGACTACTATTTCGTCCTTGTATTTTCTTCTACAACTGTTTATATCCAAGTCTTTATAATACAGGTGCTGCTTAACTGAGCTCTCTATAGATCCCAAGCCAGAAAGACTATTATCTGCCCACTAAGCTCTCCAACATTGAAGTCATAGAGACATACACAAATATACATACATATTATACATAGGTACATGTGTGTATATATACATGTGTATAATATACACACATTTAAGCACACAGAAATATTGTATTACTTTTTCAAAAATCTAAACTTTCAAACTATAATAAGTCTTATTCTATGAAGTCATCAGAAAAGAAGAATGTCAAGTAGAGAATGTCTTTTTCAGGTCAAATGGTTGCCTGTATTCCTCTGATCTTGATATTTTTTCCCTCTAACTTTGTCTTGTCTTGCTGACAATTCCTCCACACAAAGTCTATCCTGCAGAGGAAAGAATACCAAAGAGCATAACATGCCTTGCAGTTTTATCACACTCTCTCTTTAGAGATATTGAGTTCCTAAAGGAAGCAGATTTTGAGACAAACTGAGTTGTTAGGGGTAGTCTTGAATTAGGGTTTCTCTGGAGAGGGTTTTTGAAGAGATTTGATTTCAAAAAATAATGCTAATGTGTAAGGGTGGGATTTGAGATTTTTATCTATTTAATGAAATATCGTTTTAGGTGTATTTAATACATTGTGTTAAGGAAACAAAGGGAAATCGTTGCTGGGTTCAACTATTCTTTTGCCAATACAAGAAAAAATTTAAGGAATAAAATTGAGACAAGCTTACTTCCTCTTCTGACATGTGTATGGTGTACAGTTTTTTGTGTAATAAATTTATAGTTTCATGATATTTTGCATCTAACATTTTATTGCTTATGCACAGCCATTAAATTTTTAAAGTGACTTTTTCCGAATCTGCACAGTAAGCTAGTAGTAAAGAAAGTAGGAGAGTCCAGCTCTTGGATATCATGGTTCTTTTAGCTATGTACTGGAATACTGGGTCTGATTTATCAGTTTTGCTCACATATGGCTTTTGAACAAGCTCCCAGATAGCAGTATTGACACTTCATGTCCTGACAGATAAAGAAAGCCAGAGAGAGAAGGAGAAGCTGGAAGCAGAGCTGGCCACTGCCCGTTCTACCAATGAGGACCAAAGGCGACACATTGAAATCCGAGACCAGGCCTTGAGCAACGCCCAGGCCAAGGTGGTGAAGCTGGAAGAAGAGGTATAGTTTCTTGGTGGTATTTGAGCCCAAGGGAAGATGAGCTGGGAAAAGAAGGGTACTAAGCTTCCCATTGTGGTGAACTGGCAGTTGGCAGGAGGCAGTACTGTCTTCTGCTTCTAGTTACAGCTGTGCTGATGTGAATGAATTTTGATTTCTTTTCTCTGTAAATTTCTTTGTTTTGCTATAGAATAGGATATCACTTGGGTCTAAGGGCAATTTCCATTTGCTCATTCATATAATAAGCTAATCACCTTTATATGTAGTTCTTCCTATGTACATACTCCCTATCTTTCTAGATAGATAGATAGATAGATCCCAGTTTTTACAGAAATTTAAAACTTTATTTTGGAAAAACTGTAAAATGATTCCAGATTTTTAAAGTCTTTCAATGATCTTAAAATTAGAATGATTATTGTCTCTTAACACTTAGTGGGAAGTCAGCCCCCTTATAGGTAATAACACATCTTTATGTCTATCCTTTTTGTTGTTGGACTTGTTAGGTTTGTTTGAGAATAGAAGCAATCTTGGGAGGTCCCGGATAGGATGAGACCCAGAGATAGTTTGCAGTTTATGTCTAGACAATTCACTGGTCAAGATAGCTGCTATGGTTTGGTGACCAGTGTTTACAATGTAATTATATGATGTGAATGAATTTGATAGTCTTATGTACAAGGATGGAGCCTTACCTTGACAAATGCAAAGGCTCCCAAACTACTAAACATGATTAATATGTATCTGAATAGTCTCATGTACATGCTATTCAATTGCAACAATAAACTGTTTAGGAAAATAGAGCTTTGCTGCTAGATTATCACTAATAAATCTTGGATCTCAGTTGTCACTGTACTGGAATACACCTGACGAATAAGATGCTTTGCAATTCCACAAATGAGTGTATTCTAGCCAAATGTTGATGTCAAAGTGCAATTTTGTTAATTTTTAATACCTAAATTCTTCTGGATAATCTGAATTGTTTTTAGGGGAAAGATATACTCCACTTAAAACGTTGAGTGTTTTCTAAATCTGATATAAAATTAAAATGTTAGGGGCCAAATAGCATTCTGGCTATTTTATGTGAGGGATCTTTCCCACCTTCATTCGTTGCCTGTCTCCAGTCCCATGGTAAGAATGTCTGTATTTTCTGGATATCTTCTGGTGTACAAATTTCCTCTGCTTTCTTTTTTGGGTATTAGAATTGTTTGTTGGAGATGGGTTATCGTTTCATATTTAGCAAGCCATAATGTCATCTAATTACTGATATCCTTTAGCCTGACGTGCTTAAATATTAACTTTAAGTTTTATAAAATCAAGTTAATGTCTTGCTTTATCACTTATTTTAGAAATATACTAAGTTACTCCATGGAAAATGAGGAAGATTTGTATTTGCTTTATGTCTAGCTCTAAGGAGCATAGCGTACCCTTTAGCCTTTTGCTGCACTTCGTAATATATTCCCTTTCTTCCTTTTCCTTTCTTTGTAAGGAAATTCCAGAGTGAATCAAATTTCAGGAGAAGACTGTCTTCTTTTAGTGAAGGGTGAACTGAGATGTAATAGCTTGTTGGTGGTCACATGGCAATTCTTTGGTAGAGCCAGGAATAAAACTGGTATCTTATGACTCTTAGGCCCTGATGCGTGTCTCCCAGTCTGAATCATGCCTTGGTTCAACTCCCAAAAAGAAAATGTGGGCATGTTCAGATTTAGCAACTGTGCCTCTTTTTAAAATTATTTTTTATCAACAGATAACTCTTGTATATCTTTATGGGGCACAATGTGATCTTTTGATACATTTTATACATTACATATTGATTGACTCACAATTCTTAGGTTGTCCATTCATCTCAAACATTTGTCATTTTATTGTGATGAGAACATTCAAATTCCTGTCTTCTAGCTATTTTGAATTGTATAATATAATATCATTAACTATACTCACCCTCTGTGTAAAGGAACACCAGAACTTTACTCCTCCTGTTTTGCTGTGACTATGTTCCCATTATGCAACTTCCCCTACCCCTGTATCCTTTCTATCCTCTACTTCTTTTCATTGCTTTATGCTTTAGGCCTCTCAAAAGACTGGGAGCAGCTTCTCCAGACTGTTATGAGATTGGGATATATTGACAGCCCTGTTGCCCCTCTGTTAAAGGTGCCATTCTAACTGAAAATAAATGGGCAAAAGTGGGCACAAACATTATATCTTTCTTGGTCTGCAGCATCTAAGGAAGCAGTGGTAATTGCTTGTTAATCATGGAAATAATATATGTGCAGGAAGATATTCCTACTGAACAGCCCTTGCTGAAGCAGTTGCCTAAACAATATTTCTGGCTTCAGACTTCTGAGGCTTTTCTGGGCATTTGTTCTAGAGACTTTTTTTTTGTTTTTTTGAGACAGGGTCTCACTACATAGTTGAGACTGACCTGGAACTCACTCATGTAGCCTAGGCTAGTCTTGAACTCATAACTATCCTCTTGCCTCAGCCTCCCGAGTGCTTTGATTACAGGCTTGTACGGCCATGCCTGGCTTGTTCCAGAGATTTTTACTAGTTTTCCAGAGGCTTCCCCTAAAGATGTAGCTTCTATATTTAAAGAAACTCTAAATATTGGTTGGGATTAAATGAATGATGTCTAGTGGCTAGAGATCTCAAATAAGCTCATTATTCATAATTTTTAAATATTTATCCAATTTGTACATTCATATGGAGTCTAATTGTTGGGAAATTCTTGAATTTCCTATTACTAAAGGAGATGGAGCCTTTGACTGGGAGAGTAGGTTTATAGCCCTCTCTCTAACCCAGGGAAATCTTAGGGGCCATGTAATGTCTTCTGGACTCTGAAGGTAGATCATTTCCATCATGTATAAAGTGTATAAAGGCTCACAAGAGTTTGCCCAGGGAGAAATAAACTGTTTCTTTTTTGTTGGGGGTTGTTTTTTCTGAGGGTCTCACTATGTAGTTGAGACTGACCTGGAACTCACTATGTAGCCCAGGCTGGTCTCGAACTCACAGTGATCCTTCTGCCTCAGCCCCCAAGTGCTGGGATTGCAGGCATGCACCGACCACACCTGGT